GGTTTCTCCCCTGTGTGTATTGCCATGTGCCGATTTAAATTTCCTCTCCCTGAAAAATATTTCTCACAGACTGAGCAGCTGAATGCTTTCTCTCCAGTATGGATTCTCATGTGGTCCTTTAAACTTCCTCTTCGTGTAAAACACTGAGTACAGACGAAGCAGCTGAATGGTTTCTCTCCTGTATGGATTCTCATGTGGTCCTTTAAACGTCCTCTCTGTGTAAAAGCTTTCTTACAGACTGAGCAGCAGAATAGTTTCTCTCCTGCACTAGGTCTTGAATCACTGACAGGGTCTTGTTTATTTTCTTGAGAGTTAGATCCTGGTTCTCTGGTCTCCTTCCAATCTCCACTGTCTTCAGTGTCGGGTTCAGAAGAGTCTCCTGGGTTTGCCTCAGTCTCAGGTTGTAAACGTCTCTCTGGATCGGAGTTCCTGGCTGGTTCTGGTCCTCCACAGTCCTCTCCATCAGCTTCTGTTTCCAGGTGTTCAGTTTCTCTTTGATGAAGCTGAGAGGACTGAGGTTTCTCTTCATCATCTTCACTCTTCACAGGGACAGGAGTGAATGTGGACTTGGTGATATCAGCCTCCTCCAGACCTAGAAGCTGCTCTCCCTCCTGACTGCTCCAGTGTTCCTCCTGCTCCTCTTTAATGTGTGGGGGGGGCTCTGGGTCCTCCTGGTCCAGACTGGAGCTCCACTTCTGCTGCTCAGGGGGAACCTCTTCTTTAACCACCAGCAGCTGCTGGACGTCTGCAGGAAAACACATATGTATCAGATTCAGAATCGGTCATATTTACAAGGTAGGTTTACACATACGAGGAATTTGCTTTAGTATATGTGCTGCATGAAAAGAGACAGAAAAAAGAATCGCAGTAAAATAAAACATGTTTTATGACTGTTATGTTTGAGAGAAGAAGTTTGGCGGACAAACTTCCGGTGAAAGAGCAGATCAACCTGATATTGCTATCAAACAGCAGGCAAGTGACAAATGGAAGCCGTATGTGCAATGCTTCTCTCGTAGCTGGTACACCAGAAGCCTGGCTGGATGCAGTCATGCTAATGCCTTATTCTGCCTTCCTTGCTTGGTTTTTAAAACAACGGGGACAGATGCAGCATGGAGCACTTCTTTCCAGACATTGGTGGATTTTCTGCCTTCTTCTCAAGGTCACCCAAGCGAACCGCAGTGCTCGACCAAGTGGTGGCGCAAAGACAAAGCTTTCAGAAATAATCAGTTCCTCACTTCCAACAGTCTATATGTGCCATGTCATCAAAGTGAATGAATATCATGTATCACATCACAATTATATTTGATTTAGTATTTAAAAAGTTAAGAGAAGACACTCAGTAATAATAATAATAATAATAATGCAGGTAAAGTAGATAATAAACAGAGTTGGTAATAACAGGCTTATTCAGGTGTCTACCAGGTCAATTTCTAGAGGAGGCCTAGTTGTTATTGATTCATAACTGACAAAAGTAAAAAATAAATAGTTTAAAGTTAATTATATACATATACTGTAAACAACAATGAGTATATTGCACACAATGAATATAATTGCACATAAATGAGTTTGATGGCAAGTTAGCAACCTAAACTTTATATGTTTTGGACCAGGGCCTCCATTTCCTCTTTGAGTGTGGACAGTGCATCTGACCAGCCGCAGGAGCCCATCGAGAGAGGAGGACGCTGGGAGCAGGAGAACAACAGAGGCTGGCTACAGACGTAAGTTGTGATCTGGCAGTGTTTGCCCTAGAATATTTTTCAGTGCTTGTGGTATACAGCCAAAATAAAACCTAAACTGCACATTGGAATATGAATACCAATTTATATATTGGCATTCATATTTTTATTTACTATTTTTGTAGATTCCAGGTTTATGTCAGAGCAGTCACAAAAAGGATAAGGCATCGTCATATGTAACAGAAAATATGTGGTTTATTTATTGAAATGCCACTGTAAACCTCGTTTTGTTGTGGAAACCACAAGAGAGTTAAAGATCAGGAGAAGGAAACATGCTGTGAAGTACAATTAGGAGTAATGGTGTTAGAACCTTAGTAGTCATATACTTAACTTGGAAATATGTGTTCAGCATCACTTTCACAGCTTTCTTGCAATTTTAGATAATGATATATCTTTTACAGGTATGTGATACCATCCTGATGCACGCCAAGGAGCGGTTCTCCTTCACCCAGCACCTCATCAGCATGGAGAGTTGTTCCAACAACACAGTGTGAAGTTCCCTGATGCAGCACTTGAAACGACAGTGCAGGCGTACCCCATGTTGAACAAGGCCAAGCTCAAAACGGAACTGTCCCTCATCTATAATAACAGCGAGTTCAAGGCTGTACCAGTTTTTCATGGAGAACAACCTTCAGAGCACTTTCACAGAGACTGTCAGTCTTCTCAGGATCCTCATCACCATACCCATGACAACAGCTGAATCTGAGAGGTGCTTCTCTACTTTTAGTTGTTGTACATAGTACCTGGGCGCCATTCATAATGGCAGCCCACTGCTCCTAACACTAGGATGGGTCAAATGCAGAGAAACCGTTTTGTTACATAGTACCTGAACTACGTAATGACAATAAGTTGAATCTTCAATCTTCTTCTATAGTCCTCAGTCTCAAATGCTTAAATTGTTTATGGAGCCATTACAATTTAAGACTGGTAAATTAACACGGAAAACTCCTGTTTCTTTTTGCATTAAGTCATACTGGGATGTTTTCTGAAATTGATTGCATGTGGCACAGCCCTACCTAGAAAAAAGTCCACCAGCCGCCCTCTGTATATAGCGATATATGACAATACTGTAAATAAGGAGATATTAAGCTTTGATTTATAAAAATATACATTTTTTTTAAATATCATTGTCGAATACTGGTAAATAGTACTTTATATGCAATTTATCGGAGTACTTACAAAAAACACATATTTGCATGTCACCATTTATTAGAAGTCAATCTATAAAGTATCATCAAAAATAAATATATTGATATCTTCCTACGCCCCAATTATGTTGTCCATGAAAGTGTTGATACAAATAAATACATTCCTTATTTTAATCCATATAGTTGGGTCAAAGAGCGAGGAACAAGACAATAATCAATGTTTACAAAACCTGCAGAGATAGAAGTGAAGTAAAAAGTGAAGTTGAAAACACAGCTTGGATATAAATGAGATTAAAATCTTTATAAAACATGACATGTAATCGCAAATACAACATGACCTACAACAGAAGGCTAACTATGTTTTCACCAACATATTTGTCCCCAAATAGATTTGAGCTATAGCTAGAGGAGGGATAAAAGGGTTTTTCAAGGGTTAAGTCTACAACCACCCATCCAGTTTGGAGAGAATTAATAATCTAATACTCTGATAATCTAGATTCAGAAACCAAAAAATGGAGGCAGGACCCAAGTATGAGGATTAGATAGTGGAAAGAGCCACTGACTGATGATCTCCTGAAGTACCAGTTGACTGGAAGGACTATCTAAAGTACACAATTGTGTCATGATCTAAAGGTCCACTATGGTTTTAAAAGATAAATTGTGTTGGTTTGAAATCCTTATGTAATGTTTTAGTTGGAGTTAACTACATGTTTAAAGCCAGATATGTTCCCGCTCTGTCCCTGTTTTAACAGTCATTAGTTAAATGTTTAATTTGCCGAAAATATATTTTTGGAGCATTTTAAAATCCCTCTTTTTCCTAACTGCAAAACAGATTTATCTGGAACTAGTGGACGGTTACATAAATGTATTCAATCCAATGGGATTACAACATTGGGTAACCCAATCCATGTTATAAAAACTGCAGCTTGTAGGCAGCAGGCATAGACATCTATCAGTTTGAGGTGTGTACTGGATTTAACTTGATAACACTTTTTTTACATTTCCCAAGATCATGGTTTGCAATCTTTTTTTATGAATTTCTCCTATTTCCTCCTCGACCTATTGATCTAACAACAAGTTAGGGAGGTGTTTACAGTAAAATAAAGCCAACCGGCCAAATATTATTTTTTTAAAAAGGGGCCTTATGGTTATTGGGGTTTCACTTTCCTGTGGTGTGTTATACAGGTTTGTGTGCATGTAAATAGTCTGCAAAGGCTAAAATCCCAAAGTTCCCCCCAGAGGGAGTTTCTCTCCCACACACTTCCCCCCCTCTAACATCAACACCTTCATTGCCACCTTCATTGCCTCTAAAAAGGTCCTTACACACCAAACTGACACCAAAGAACACCAAAGAGCACGTCACGTCTCTTGGCCATGTTTTGCACTGGAACACACCGCAAAGAATTCAGCCGACGGCCAAGTTGCACGACAAGAGGCAACAACCGGAAGACAGACTGCGTGATAACCGAGAGAAGAAGAACAGACTGCGTGATATAAACAAACAACAAATAGCGTGTGCGTTCCATTTTCACTCTATAGCGAGAAGCTCATGGGGATTTCCCGAACCTGTGTCGAGAGCTGGAGTTAAATGAAATCTCAGATTTGCCTTCTTAATAGTTTGTTTGGGTCCCTCACTTCCGTTTCGCTTCTCATGCGCTGATTCGCTAGATGAACAGCCAATCAGAGTGATTTCTTTGGCCGACAGCCTCCCGATTCAACATGTCGAATCGGCGGCGGAAGGTGTCGGCACGGCCGAAAAGACACAACGGTGCAGTACACACCAAGACACACCAATCTGAGTAGGGCGACACAACGCTCATCGACGGCCCGACATCTATCGACACCGAAAATCGACTTGGTTTGTAAGGACCTTAAAGCACAAGCTGCTATAATCAACATCCTCTTGTATTCAATTGAATCCAGAGTCATGTCCTGTTGAACCCTTTCATTAGATTAAGACAACTTTATACGGCAATCACAATTATTGTTCAAGCTTTTTCCATACCATTTACTGTATCATTCCAGATTCTCTAAATAAATGTTAAACTGAAACCATGACTCACTTGTATATTAAGTACCGCCCATTTCCAGTTACCTTTCATTGAAGAAAAGGAGCCCTGAAGGGAGCACCAGTCTGTGGTTCCTGTTTGAAACTGGAATGTGATTTATCCACCATTGTTAATAACCTACACTAGACAAACCAGTTAACCAGCGTGAGTGTCTAAAAGACCAACATATTTGTCCTCATTATATAGGCTTAGCTGTTTCACTTCTCAACACTCATGTCAGAGCATTTTACAATCAAATTAGATTCTATACAATCAATAACTTCATCAACCGAGAAACAGAAATGAGGTCAAATGTCAATGGCTCCATGACCCCTCAATGATCATGTTAACATTCCGAAACAACAAATATTTGAAAAAGGCTTTAATTATTTTGGAAGCATTTACTATCTGTCAGCCTGCTTCAGTCAGTTCTAGCCAACCTCATCAATGTCGATTGGACAGGATCAGAACAGAGAAAAAGAACAAAACACATCTTAAAAAGGGACAGTCAGCACGTTCAAATAACAACTTTGGCTGGTCATGTGTGGGATTAGAAAAAAATCAAATTGAGCTCCTTGGTGAAAAGTGTGCATTTTATTTATGAAATACAAGTCTAGGTTTTACATCTATACACTGCATTTACGTTGGTGGCTCTACAGTAGCAACGTTTATGTATTAGCCTGCAAACAGCTGTGTTTAAAAAGGGAAACAACTTAAAATATTGGTCACATCTTCCTATCACTTCCTTTAAAAACAAATGCAAGAGCTAGCCAGATCCAGACCTTTATGATACAAACAAGTCTGCTCATGGAAACACTGCTCGGTCTTTCAACAAAGACCCACCACATTAATAAAGTCTCTAAATAGCCACATTAACCTCAACAGACAAAATGACCACAATAACCCTGTGTACAGTGCTACTACAGTTTCCTTTAGCAACATTGGATCCTGGATTTGACTGTAAAAGGACTAAAGATTAAACATTAACAGTCCACTCCTGTGAAACAGTGTAGTCTTCTAACTGATACATCAAGGGGGACACAGCTGAGTGGTCCATAACATTCATTTTAACTGCTGATCACTATTTGCAACATTTCATTTTAGTACACCAAGATGCTGCCTAGTCCTCAAGTAGTCATTTTCTATATAAAAAGGTGTGGATATATCTGCAATCAAATGTTACAAGAAGGATATAACAGCCCTTTAAAAGCCTCTAGTGTTTTTCCTCCAGCATTGTCTACAGGTGCGATAAATAGTTCTGAGATAAATGTGTCATGAAGGAAAGATAACCATTGATTAATAGAGTGCGTGGGGATATTTAATATGTGAAATGGATCTTTTTGTCTGCAGTTAATCCAGTGAAAGGCACCCATTTCAGAGGATTGAATTGATTAACTCAAGAATCATTGTTCAGCAATACAATGTATTGTAATCATGCGATGTTAGAGGGATGGTATTTCATATTTCCTACAATCAATGGCCTCTTTATAGCGTTTCAAATCTGCTACAATACAATTTCTGAATGTAGAGATCTACAATCCCATCAAATCTTGTTTGAAAATATGATCCTGTTTTACTTGGCAATTTAAGTCCATCTCAGAGAACATCCTTACTGCCAGCCTTGGCCATGTGAAGGCTGCGAAGCAGGGTCAGACAGTTCAAGGGGACCGAGCTGGAGCATCCTTCCTTTCTACACACAACCTCGTCCAGAAACCCCCCTCTCGCTAACCTCACACATTTGAGTGACCGATATGCCTCTTTTACGCAAGTAGAAATTCAGTGAGATGGCCAGAATAAAGAAAGAAACCAACAGTGCATGTACAACTTTGAATAACCAGGCTGCAAAACAAAAAAGTAAAAATTGCATGAAAAAAAAGCAAAGTGACACAAAATACCAGGTAAACTATGGTATTATTTACAACAAACGATATTTAACGGAAGACATAAAGGTGAATATGGTAAAGGATTCTGAAATGTTACAACAACAAATAACAATAATTACTGTCACAGTAAATGCAAGATGTTATTATTTACATTCATGTCAAGTTTAATTGATTTCCAAGTATGTGTTGGGTGTATTTCTCCTGTTTTTATTATTGTTCTGTTTTTTGTTGCACAACATTTTTTTAATGTTTTTCTTTAGCCCAGAATCTTTAATTGGACTGTTTGATTAAAAGGAGAAGATTTTTGTCTGCAATGTATGGTCTAAATAAAATAATACAGTACGACATTCATCACATCATAATTCACAAGTCACTTATAGGACTAATACTGATGACAAATGCGCATGTGATAAAAGTACCTACAATGATACATATCTCACAGGAAAGACAATTGTATTGTGCATGAGACTAAACAGCAAAGTAGTGTTAGAGCTGTGTAATAATCAATCCTGCACGTGTACACTGAAACACGTACTGGAAAAAAATACATTTGGGATGGTACTGCCACAAATAAGTAGGCTAGGGCTGGAAAAAGTTGAGAGCTTATTACAGGTTGGCTGCAGGCTGACACATGTACAGTACAGCAGGTAAACTATGCCAGATACAGATGACTGTATTTCTTCTTTCATTCCCCAATGACATCAGCCCATTTTGAATAAACAAAAAGACACAGGTTTCCAAAATACCAGACATACAAATACCTGATGGTAGCATTTTCAAATTATTACAACAGTTTTGCAGCCTGGATCCATTGGAAAGTAACAAAGTACATGAGTCAGTTAATGTAATTGAGTTTAATTTTGAGGTACCTGAACTTCTATTTCACTATATTTCGCATGAAATTCTTGTCCTTTTGATAGTGTTTACTGTAGAAGTTGTCGATACTTCTTAATACATGCACGTGTGTATGTACAAGGAATACACAATGCATAGGCAAGTGGTGGCTTTATTTATGACCACAGCATGAACAGTGAACATGTACGTTGCATGCCGACTAACAACTGAATGCCTATTACCTTAACACGTCACCAGGTGGCGCACCAGCTACGGTGGCCTGCAAAGGACAAACTTAATCATATGAGAATTATCTACATCCCTTCTCTTTAGCTGATGTTTCTATCTGAAAGTAAATAACATTTAAGGCAGATGATATTGAACATTCCTTTAGCATTTGGTGACTCAAACAATTACTAAATACCTTACCAGGTAACAGGAAAAGGAAATGACTAAACATATCACTTTAACAAGATTGTCCAACAGTGTTACTGCACATATTTAGGGTTTGGTTTGCATGTGCGACCTGATCGTGTTATGTATGGTGTGTCACTGTTGTTGCAAGGGAAATGTGATGTGTGTCTTGGTAGTGAAGGGGAACTGTTCTGAGTCAGCCTGCTGTTTCTCTCAGGTGTTTGTGGTGTGTGGGGTACACAGTCCATCATAGAGGGGTCGGTGTTTTGAGGGTCGTGACTCGAGAACAGGAATGATGTGACGACGATTCCGTCTGTATGAAGTCCCGTCAGCTTGGATTATGTAAGAGCGTGGTTTCTCGCTCACATCCTTGACAACGCCAAGCCGATCGTATCCTTTTGGGGTCTGCATCCTGATCACTTGTCCCTCTGCCAGGGTTTTTAGAGGAGAACTTGAGATGTCATAGTGGCGCTTTAGGATGAGCCGCTTGTTGAGGAGTTGTGTTCTGATTAGTTGTGCATCTTTTGGGTTTGGCTGTAACAGTTTGATGCTCACAGGGATGGCTGCACGTGTTTGTCGCGACATCAGGCGTTCAGCTGGAGAGCCTAACGTCAGATCACGGGGAATGTTTCTGAGATTTACCAGGTTGAGGAAGACATCTCTGTGTGAACGTTCCATCAGCTGTTTTGCACTGCGAACTGCTCTCTCTGCTAGTCCGTTTGACTGTGGGGGTATTCAGGACTGCTGGTGATGTGAACAAAGTCCCACTGTTTTGCAAAGTCCTTGAAATGCTGACTGGCGTACTGTCCAGCATTATCGGAGATGAGTGTGTGTGGTGTGCCGAAAACAGAGAAATGTCTCTTCAATTTAGTTATCACAGTTGATGAGGTCACATCCCGGAGAAGGTCGATTTCAAACCAGCCAGAGTATGAGTCAACCAGCACCTGATACCGTTTTCCATGCCACTCGAAGATGTCTGTTGCCAATGTGGACCATGGGAGATCTGGCACAGGATTAAGCTGGAGGGGCTCCTTTTGCTGAAGGGATCTGGTGCTGTTGCACACCGCACATGAAAGCAACTCCTCAGTGATGTCTCTAGACATTTCTGGCTAAAAGATGATGCTTCTTGCTCTGTGTATTTGGTTGCTTCAATGCCGGGGTGTCCTCTGTGCACTATTTTGATGTACTCTCTGTGCAGGGACTGAGGAATGACAGTTTTGTGGCCTTTCATGACAATTCCCTCTTCTACTGTCATTTCATCTCTGTAGGGAAAGAAGAGACGGACAGCAGGTTGGAGCTGATTCTGTCGGATGGGCCATCCTCTATTAATGACTGCACTGAGGGCTTGCAGATCTTCGTCCTCTGCTGTGTGCTTTCTGAGTTCTTCCAGGCGGGCTGTGGAGATGTAGCTCACAGACATAACTTCATAAGCATCATTTTCAGCAGGGCTTTGAGATGTTTGTGTGGTTGGGGCACGTGAAAGTGTGTCTGCTACATACATATACTTGCCCTTTTTGTACACCAAACTGATGTCGTAGCTCTGCAGCCGGAGCAACATTCTCTGCAGATGGGCAGGGGCTGTGTGGATGGGCTTCTTTAAGATAGTCACTAAAGGTTGGTGGTCAGTCTCCACCACTACAGGCTTTCCATACACATAGTCTTTGAATTTTGTACAGGCAAACACGACAGCTAGCAGTTCTTTTTCAATTTGTGCATACCTTGTCTCTGTGCCTTTAGGCCTTCACTTGTGAAAATGTGACCTACATATCCTACATGATCCAGGTGAAACTTGCACTTGGCTGGATTCAGCTTCAGGTTGACTTCTCTCACTCGTTCCAGCACCTTCTTGAGGTTGGCATAATGCTCCGCGGCCACCAATGATGATGTCGTCAAAGATGACAGAACATGGGTAACCTGCAAACAGCTGTTCCATCGAGCGTTGAAATACCTCACTAGATGCTTGCTGGAACCAACACCATGCAGTGTCCTTGTGGATGAGTTTTCTCAGTGGTGCTGCGATGTCGCTGAAGTTCGGGATGAACTTGCCGAGGTAGTTAACCATACCGAGGAAACGTTGTAGTGAGACAACGTCTGTGGGGACTGGCATGTTAGTGATTGCATCTGTCTTAGAAGGGTCTGCCTTTAGGCCTTCACTTGTGAAAATGTGACCTACATATCCTACATGATCCAGGCGAAACTTGCACTTGGCTGGATTCAGCTTTAGGTTGACTTCTCTCACTCGTTCCAGCACCTTCTTGAGATTGGCATCATGCTCAGTAACTCCGCGGCCACCAATGATGATGTCGTCAACGATGACAGAACATGGGTAACCTGCAAATAGCTGTTCCATCGAGCGTTGAAATACCTCACTAGCAGAGCTAATGCCGAAGGGCATCCTTAGGAATCTGTACCGCCCAAATGGAGTACTGAAGGTTGTCAACATGTTGTCGAGACGTATCTGCCAGAAGGAGCTTTTAGCATCTAGCACAGAAAACACTTTTGCTCCTGACATCTGTGCTGCAACTTCTTCTACTGTTCTCATAGGGTGATGTGGTCTTTTCAGCGCTGTGTTGAGGTCTTGTGGATTGATACACAGTCTTATTTCCTGCTTGTCTTTTTTGTGTGCTGCCACCATAGATGAGACCCAGTCTGTGGGCTCAGTAACTGGTATAATGACACCTATGTTTTGCATGCGGTTAAGTTCAGCTTTAACTCGGTCTTGCATTGCAATAGGAATGCGGTGGGCAGGTCTAACCACAGGTTGTACACTAGGATCAACTGTCATGGAGTAAGTGATTGGTAGTTCTCCAAGTTCATCATCAAACAGGTCTTTGTACTGCATGAGTGTCTGTGTGGTGAAATCCGTGTTGCTTTCCGTAGTGATCTGGTGGACATCTTTGCTCAATGTGACAATTCCCATGTCCACGCATGCCCGGAATCCCAGTAGTGGCTGCACATCTTTGTTCACTATGAAGAAAGGCAACGAATGGTGCTGCTCCTTTAAGCAGCAAGGCAGTGTGGCCAGGCCTTTGGTCTCAATCCTGCTTCCTCCATAAGCAACAAGGTATATAGCAGTCTCTTGCTTCACAAGTTGCTCGCCATTGGTCACTTGTGTGAACGTTTCTTGAGACAACACATTGCATTTAGCTCCTGTGTCAACTTTCATTTCAGTTGGTATGCCATTAATGTGAATTGTAACAAATCCTTCTTCTTTGTCTTTAGCTTGAGGATTAACACTATCAACATGTCTTTCGATATCTACGCCATCCACGTAGAACGTGTCTTCTCTGTGTGTTGTGGGCTCTTCCACTGTTACTTCATGTACAGACTGGTTAAAATTATTTCTATTTGAATGACTGTAGCTGCGTGGTTTAGACTTGCAGCATTTTTTGTAGTGATTCACTTTTTCACAGTTATGGCACTTTTGCCCGAAAGCTGGACACTTTTCTCGCATAGCTGCATGGCTGCCTCCGCAATTATTACAGTTAGAGATGCTCTGGGAGTGAGCGAGTGACTGTGGCTTTGGCTGATATCTTCTGCTAGAAACAGGTCTCACTGCATCAACACTGGTAGCTTGAACGGCTAACGTCCTGCTGCTTTCTTCTGTCATTTCGTGTATACGGCAGACTGAAACAGCTTTAGCAAGTGTCAGTTCACTGTCTCTCAACAGAGTTTTTCTTAAAGAGTCATTGATTATGCCACATACTATTCTGTCACAGATTAGTTCCTCAGCTAAGTCTCCACAATGGCAACTTTTAGCTTTTATCTTCAGATCACTGATGAATGACTCAATGCTCTCACCTTGCTTCTGATTTCTTGAATGAAACCTGTGCCTTTCCATTATTTTGTTATGTCGAGGGTTGCATATTTCTCTGAATTTCCTTATCAAACAGTCCGGGTCCTCCCTTGATTCAGCTGGGGAGATCACTGCACCGTCGGGGCCTGGCGCGCGCACTTCAGCTGCATACACAAAGGATCGTTCACGTTCAATGGCTTCTGGTCCAGCAAGATTGAGGAGGATGTAAGCCTTAGTCCTGGCAGCCTTGTCTGGGTGCGCTGCGGCGATGAAGATTTCATATTCCCTCTCAAAGATCCGCCAGCTCTCCGCGACGTTTCCTTCAAACATAACAGGGTCCGGACGGCGAAATCCATCCGCCATTGTAGCTGGGGCTAGCTTCAGCCAGCTAGTTACCGTTAGCACGGTCCGTACGGTCCGTAGGAAAAAAAATTCTCCAGACGAGAGGAGAGGCTCGTGCCGTCTTCTGACACCACCATGTAGAAGTTGTCGATACTTCTTAATACATGCATGTGTGTATGTACAAGGAATACACAATGCATAGGCAAGTGGTGGCTTTATTTATGACCACAGCATGAACAGTGAACATGTACGTTGCATGCCGACCAACAACTGAATGCCTATTATCTTAACACGTCACCGGGTGACGCACCAGCTACGGTGGCCTGCAAAGGACAAACTTAATCATATGAGAATGATCTACAGTTATTAGTAACTTTTTACATAAATAACATGATCTGTGAATATATATTTATGTTCCAGGTCTTCCAGTACATATGTGCCCCACATTGACAAATTCAATTATTTAAAAAAATAAAGAAACGGAAACATATAATATAGTATAATAAACAACAGTTTTGAAAAAGCAATTCTTACAATGCGTACTTTTATTTGTGTTACCTTAAGTAACATATTGGACTTTACCGTACAATAGGGTATTTTTAGACTGTGGTCTAGCATCTGAATACTTATTTCATCTCTGACCGGATTCTTCATATTTTACTAATGATATTTTAGTAATTACTAAAAGTCTTCGTATTTTAGTAATGATGAACAAGAAATGATTTGTCTGCAGAAAATAGATGGATAATAAAAAGCACCCTTCCAAGACTAAAATGCTAAATAATCATGTGAAAATAAACAGATCATAAAAACAGTCATAAAAACGTTTTATGGCTTATGTTGTTTTTCTTCAGTCAGTGGGACGAGTTACCCCACAGCCCTGTCTTGTCAGAACAAGAAGCTATTTCCTGAAACTATTTCACAGTTGTGGTTTCTTCAGTTTGATGCAAGACTAAGGCTTAGAGGAGAACAAAATCATATAAAAAGTAATGCATGCATCAATTATGCTACATATCTACAGTTGCAGTGGTCTTCAAACTGTTGGATGCCAGTTTAGTGTTCAAGCGTGTGCACGCTGTAGCCACATAAACAATACCTGTGGGTTTGCAACATGCTGCAATTTGTGTGGGGAAATACCGTTTTAAAGTAATAACATCCCCCAAAACGTTTCAACTGTATCCAGAGTAAGTGAACGTGTACTATTAAACTTACACTAACTATAACAGAAGGTTATTTCTCCAAAAAATGTGTCCTTTGTAGACGGTACCTGAAAAAGCAACTCACTGCAATAAAACAGCTTAAATGTGACGTGCATCACCAGACCTAACTCCATTTAAAAAAAAGAACACGCACATAATACGATACTGCGTATCGGGAAATATTAGCAATATTGCATCTAAAAAACTAAAAGTGAGTCAAAGGGAGTTGCTCTTTCATTAGGCATGTAGCAGACATTACACAACACGTTCACAAACTTTACAGTGGCAACTTCTGTCCCAGCTTCCAGAGGTGGAGGTGTGAAACGAGGTGTGTTTGTTTGATGTCAATGCCCAATGACGACCGACTCATGTGGACATGAACACTTTTTTTAAATTTTGTTGGACAAGATAAGTTTTTAATTGCAAAAAAATGTGTCCCTGAAGAGTGACTCTTCTTTACATACAGATTTAAAAAGTATAGGCCTACATGGAGCATTGCCAGGTAACAAAGAAAAGTTGGAAGGGAGGCCGCTGAGACTGCTCACCTGCCCGCCAGACGACATGCTTCCGGGCATGAATGAGGTCCACCTGACCATCCCTCACAGACCCCAACAGGTAGTCTAGCGAACACAACTTCTCCCTTTTCCCTGAGAAAAGACAGTCAAGAGTGAACGCTTACCTTTTTACGCTGTTCAAAACCTCAGACGAGTGTTTCTCATTCACCTCACTGCCAAACATTGGGGTCAGAAAAGCGAAGCGCCCTCTCACAACAGCGACCGTAACCCTGGTCGAGCAGACTTCCTCCTCCCGGTGTGTGAGCTTCAGAAGGCTCGCGCAACCTATTTACACAAAGACTTTCAAAATAAAAGCCCTGCCCACGAGCTCGTGCAAAAAGAGGCAGTGTTGAAATGTAGGTTAATACAGGGCCGGCTCTAGACAATTGGCTGCGCACAGTTATGCAAAAGTCAAAAAACATGCACATAAACAGAAAACATCTCGAAAAAGTAAATGTAAAAAAAATATAAGAAAACCCACATAAGGAACCTATGAGATAACTAATAAGAATAGAAAAGATGACATGGCTGAAGAGGACCTCCCCCCCCCCCCACCCGTTCAATTTTAGAGAGCG